ATTATTGTAAAGTGCTTTGCATAAAAGCGCTACATATAAAAAGTTGTTTTTGTTTTTTTAAATAATTAACATTTTTGTTCCGCAAATATAGCACAAAACTCATACTTTAATATCAGTTGTCTTTCAAATTCAAATTATCGGTTGTTCCACAATCTTTCTGCGGACTACCTAAATGGAGATTGCGGACCAGTGGTGATTGCGGACTGAGAACAATATGGCCGCAGTCGGTGCAATGACAGCTTGGTTTTATTTTTAGCACAAGGCTGAAATAAGTACAAGCGCCATTCGTCACACGGTTAGTGCACGGGAGTGCAACATGAAGTGCACGGGAGTGCAATATCGTACAATACTGCACGATTCTGACAATGTAAAGTTAACGGATAAAAAAGGAAAATATAATATACCTGTAATGTTTATATGAAAATTACGATATGGGCATATTAACGTAAACAACATAATATATGTGTGGTACAATTTTTTTAATAATGAGTGCATTGAAATAATTTCCAATCAATGCAGAATCTATGTCGATTAGTAATAATCCTTTGTAGATCAAGCTTAAAATCCGACAAAAATGGACAATGTTAACTGCCATGTTCTTTTATAGGACCATCTCACAATCCAACTAAAGGAAAATGGCATCTGTAAAAACAATGTTGATTATTCGTGTTCCTTTTAAGGCAGGTAATGAGGAGTTTGGCATTGCAAAATTTTGTTATACTTCAAAATTAAGACCATCGTTCAAAAATATTCTAAATTATAGTATTAACGTTTTTCCTTAAGAGAAAAATAAAAACAACTCTAAAAATAATGCTGATGAAAATACGACTTCTAGTATTTAGCAAGTTTTTATTAGACTGCAATGGCTATTTGGAAAAATGTAATTATAAGAAGCTATTTGTAATTACGATTAATTAAGTGGTATTACACCGAGTATAGTATTGATCTATATCTATCGCTAAAATCGATCATTATTTTTAAAGGCCCTTGCAGCCAGTCCAGTGTGTTTATAGTATGCATTAAGACTAGTTGTAAATACATTCCTGGCATAAAAACATTTTTAAAAATATTTTAATCAACTAATTTGGGAAATTTATTGAAATGTGATGCTATAAACATAAACACTCCAGTCACGACTTTTCGTTGACACTTATTTTTTCTATAAGATACACACACGCGCGCGCGCACACGCACACAAACACACACACACACGCGTCTGGGAAATGAGAATTAAGAACACCGAGGCAAGATTAATTTTGTAAACGTTTAAACATTCATATCTTAGTGATACCTATAGCGATACCCACCCTCTTCGAAAATATAATTTACTGACCCGATGAATTTAGCTCTGAGCGTATTTATGTATATAGCTTACCCCGTCTCTCCCTGTACCGTCTACATCACTTGCTATCACAACACACCAATTAGACAACTCCGGTATTAGTTAGTGCCTGGAGCCTTAACCTCGTTCATCTATTGAGGGTACTTCTAAAGCACTTAGTCTTTCTGGTCCTTGGCAAATTCAGTAATTTTCAAACAGATGTTACATTTGTTCCCAGCCCTTATGTATTTGTGGATACATCGTCTCTCGGCTATCATGCCTCCTACAGCGCAATTGCAAATTACCGTGGTATACTCCCCTCATTCACACCACCCTCTGGTCGGTAGGGTTTAAAGTGGAAAATAGAGACAAATTAGTCGAGATTCGTAATGGTAATCATGCCTATTTCTGTGACGATAGTGGTCTATCATGGTCTACCTGTTGTGGTCTATTGCTATACTCTATGAAAAGAGGAATAATTACTAAGTATATAAAGTAATAACACGGTAACATGATGAATACATTCTTATATTCTTGCATTATGCTCTTGATCCCATTCCCTGGGTCAGTTGTAACAACTCAGTAAGAACGATAGGCATCATCAAAAACAATCGCGTAAAATCCAGCTGGGTTTTTAAAAGATAAATTGTCGTTAATTACATTAATGTAACTAGAGAAGTTGCTAATTGCACTACATGTTTTTCTAAGTGTAACTTTCACCAGCTGACTGTTTAGAACTACGTACAAGGGAAAAAAAGAAAAAAGAAAACTCTAAGGTGTTTGCTACGAGATATTGAGAATCTATTCCTTTCACTAGATGACCTTGATTATAATTCATTGTCATTTAGGGGAAAAAATTATCAGAGACATTTCAGGTAAAAAAAAATTCAGCACGTTAGATATCATTTACGGTGCGTTGGAATATACTTCTCATGAGCTAAAACACAAATCCTGAAGCTTTGTTTCTGAGCCGCTATGAATTTTTCTTGCGATAAAAGTATGGTTAACGGATTAGAAAACTTTTAACGCCTTTGTTGAAATATCTAACTCACTATAGTTGGGGGTAGAGATTCTGTTCAATTAGAAATGTATTACTTGCATTTTTTATTCTACCATATTCTTTAAAATTTCTAACTCGTTAAACGCATGCATCTGGTAATCATCTAAAAGTCAGGTACCTTAGATTATGCAACTACCTGGACATGGATATGTTTCTTAATTTAAATGTAACAACTTTCTCATGTATATATATAGTTACTCATGTATATATAATTACATGCACATACATTCCATCTAATCATAATAATATACTCTAGATTTTCCCTAAGTTAAACTCTCCCCTTTGCTAAAGTTATAGGAAATACTCGATTAACGGGATTTACTCTGGATAATATTGCAGGTAATTTGTTTGATTGTAATATATATTTGAAGCCACACGCCAGTCTTTAAGGTCTGACGAGTACAAGGTTCATATTGAGTAATCTGTATCATACTTATACTGTCAAAATAATTGCAAGTCCAAGCATAAGGTTGCATATAAGCCATAGAAAAATACACAACACTGGAAAATTCTCTTTCAGTACGATGGTTGGTGTGTAATAAATGAGAGGATTTTAAAATTATGTACCTGGTCAAGTATCTAACAATTCAACACTTTAATCTGCTATTTATAGGATATAAAACTATATCTCAGATACATGTGGGCGAAGTAATTTACAAACATAACCGAAATTCGGCATTATCAAGTAACCACAATGTATTCGCTCTTATGATCTACAAAGCCATTGTGTAGCCACCATGCTGTATGCTTTCGTCACCAGGACGGTGCAAAACGCCACGCCAAGAAAATGTATCATTTTCACATGGGCTGCATGTGGAAACTGATGATGTCATGGCATGACAGGGTCCCAGACATTGAGGTTCTCTGACAGGCAGAAGTTCCAGGACTCACGGTACTACTAATTCAGTTCCCATAGTAACCCTATGCATACACCATTATATTAAAAATTTAATTTAAAATTTCTGAGTGCTCTTGGTCAAACCCATATTTATCAGTATAGATGAAACTGGATGTCGGCTTCTGTATGAGCGGCGGCATTTTCTGGACATGCATGTGTTTTAAAGATGTGCTTTCGATTCTGCGCAAAGAGTCAGGTACTAATTTTAGCAACGAGTGTTAAAAATCAAGACTGTTGAAGGACTGAAATTCCATGAATAAAATAATATCTCTTTTATTCACTTTACAACTAGGATAACCTCTCATAAGATTCTTTTTTCCTAAAACATAACTTATGTTATTAAACAATCCTGGCCACCCAAACCAATATATACTATTTTTTATGTTCATCCATTTCCTGGTTGGTTCCCATTTTTCCACACAGTTAGCACTGTGTGTCCTATATCTACCCTTGATTTTCTTGACAGAATAGTAGTTCAATACACAAGTTAGCAATGCACATAGTTCTGCTTGTCAAAGATTACATTAGTGAATATAAAATTATATTGCAAGTTCAAGTTAACCTAATCAGCAATGGCGCATTTCAGGCAACATTAAATACATGTATTTAACTTTATTTAAGAAAATCAGAAAAAATTAAAATAAAGCTTTCTAACAGGAGTCACCTTTTTAATATCACCATTTATCTCTCCTTAATTTAATACTGAAAAATATTACCAACCTTGTTATATTGTGTAATTATAGACTTAAAGGTCAAGGTGATAATCAATTGATACATATATTATTCCACAAAAAGAGATTTAAATGACAAAAGTTGCCTAAAATTATTCCCAGAAGACATACAATTTGAAATTAAAGTAAGGTAGACTAAAATCGATTAAAATGCAAAGTATGAAGTTTCGAAACATTCACTGAAAGAAATTAGTGGGATGCAAAGTCATGAGAGGTCATCACCATCAAGCATGGTGGGAGAGATCTAAGTGATCATATCTGACCAAAGCAGATTTTCTACGGCGATCTGAAGGAAGAAAAGTGATCTCAAAGAATCCCTCTGGTCATCCCTGAAACATGGACCCAGACTCTTGAGAAGATCTCACGCAAGATCGCTCTACTGGTGACTAAAAAAAGAAGAATTGCAGAGGCAATGCAGAAGCAAGCTCAGAGAAAGTCTCAGAAGTGCTGCGCGTCGTCTTATCATTCCAGCAAACAAAGGGGCATATCCTGTCAAGTGTGTCACAGACAGTTCAGACCACAACATGGTTAATCAAACCATTTAAGTACTCACAGAAATCAAACTAGTTAGTGATATCATGGCATTCTTTGAACTTGAAGGACGAACAACAACAACAACAACAACAACAACAACAACAACAACAACAACGTAAGATTGACCTCGAAGTTGCAAATGAACTAGACAGTCACGGAAACATAAAGCACATCTGAGACAATCCTACTATTTTTTTACGCCAGCCTTGTTCGCGCGCACTCTCCTGTGGTGAGTGAGTGTGTGTGTGTGTGTGTGTGTGTGATTTGGATTTTTAATGTAGCTATAACAATTTTTAAATCGTATTGCAACGATGTCTGCAGTGTGGCAGTTTATAGTGACGTCTAGCAATGGGAACTAACCCGCGACCTTCTGCATCCAACACTCTAACCACTAGCAATATATGGGAAGACAGCTGAACCCATTGTACTGATCAGAAACACTGATACGGATAGACCGCTTCTGTGGCCTAGTGGTTAGAGATTCCGCCTCGGATGCGGGAGGTCGCTGGTTCGATACCCGGCTGAGTCATACCAAAGACTTTCATAAATGGTATTAATAGCTGACTCGCTTGGCGGTCAGCATTAAGAGGTTAGTGTTAGGGCTGGTCGGCTTGGTGTCAGGATAATGTGTCTGGGTGGGAATTCATGCAGCATGTCTGCAGCATGATGCCCAGTGCTAGACGTCACCATAAACTGTCACACTGCAGACATCGTAGCGATATGACTGAACAATTGTTAAAGCTACGTTAAAAATCCAAATCACACAAACACACACACACACACACACACACACACACACACTGATAAGGGTGAAATTTTACTTTTTATTTTTGTCATCTCGTTACCCCATAAGATAAAATAATAGTGTTATCAGCAATACAATTACAACAAGTGTCAACAACAGGAAATTGTCTGGCAGCCATTTTCGTTTATAGCCCTATAGTATACAACACTTCTACTTGTCGAGTACTTTTTATGCAACTTTATCTATCCATTGCTTAATATAGGCATTGTTATATGATATAATACGCACTTTAATATCTAAAAAAAATTTGGGTAAATACAAATCTACCTCATTGTTTTAAAATTTAAATCCCTACTGTTTAGTATACATGCATATATATTTTCTATGGTATTATACGCATCTAAGAATGAAAACTGTTGGCAAATATTAATTTACTGTATTAATGACACCTGTTCTTGGCATAATGTTCTAATTATGTTTTATATCGACATTTCATTCCTTTAAACGTAAATGGTGTAATGTTTTCTTTTGTTTTTTGCTTTTTTGTTAATTTAAAAAAAAACAAATCAATGCCATCAACGTGCTGTTGCTTTAAAAATGGTAAAATAAATATCACCCATTTGAATCAACCGACGGTTTCTCTGTCATGGGAGAATGTTTATATCAAATATTATTCTGATTTGATCATATATTCCATTCATTTCAAATGTGGTAATCAAACGCACTGGAAATGAAGTTTAATGACTTGTAAAGTGTTAGTTCAGCTTTCCCAAAATAGAAAACTAACGCGTTAAATTTTGGTTCCAAGTGACGGGTTAGAAAAATTAGGTCGTTAGAATTTAGTGCGTTAACAGTAAAACATTGAAAAAGTTAGGTGTTAGGGCTTAAGTCAAACGCGTCAAAAAATAGGCTTAAATATGTTCGTTGCGATTTCTAACTCTTTTGGAACTAACGGCCTTTGATAAAAAAAAATCGACATTAAAAGGAAATGACTTTTACAAAATGAATAGAAGTTCCAATCCCACCCACCCCCATCTACCTACCAATTTCACAGAATTTTTTTATTTTTGTAATATATTCAATGAAGAATATTAAAGTACATGTAAATCGACCGAACGTTCTAAGCTTAACGATATCATTTTTTTAAGATAGACAAAAAGCAATATTTTTAATTACCCCTCCTTATGTTTTTATCTGTGACGAAAATTTTGTGTAATTTGAAACGCAGACGGTATAGGTGTCACAGTACAATTTAGCATTTTGCTTAAGATTAAATTTCTTAAGGAAAAGAAATTCCCAGGTTGTCCAAACTAGATATAGAAAGAAGACCTTATATATTTTAAGTATTATGAAAAGAAACGTTAGTTCCCTTTATTTTGGTGTATGATTGACGGATGTAATTTGGTTTATAAAGTATACAGCTTGCATAATTTCAGATGTGCACCTATAACAAAATGAAAAACAGAAACAAATAAAACTTTGCTCGGTTTGGTTAATTTCGGTTCATAGGTCAAAGGATAGCCGATAATTTTTCTTACTTCTAATATATTTTGTACTTCATTCAGTGCACTATCAGATGCTGGTATTAACTATTCTGGCAAAATTAATTTTCCATATTATAATAATTGCTAAATATAGTGTACTTTAGATCACATCAGGCTGATTTTATGAGCACATGGAATCAGCCATATTGTTTATCTGTGTGCTTAAATCAAGAAATTTCAGTCAGAATAATAAAATTAACATAGAAGTATGCCAATATTCTCTACACTATACATTTTTGCAAATGCAAACAACACCACCTTACACCCATCACCCTTTTCACTGTAAAACGACTTTCTATGTCAGCAACCTGCTTTAAGGAGGACACATGAAGTGGTATATTACCAAGAAGGAATTTGGAAATAACATTTTGATTTAATTGCCTTGAGGAATCTTGAGAAATAAATCACAGTCTTTGATGTGCAATATTATTATCGGCCCCAGTGTGCCGACTCGCTTTCTCAATTTAATTAATTAGTTTAATTAATCTAACCATAAGTGGTTTATTGCCATATAAATGACGCAATTTTTATTGGGCCACCGATCGTGTTTCTACATAAAAATGCCGAACAGGTCCCAAAACTAAACAATCAAAGTCTTAAAATAGCTGAGTGAACCGTTAAATACTTCAATCGTCAAAGTCAAATATAGGTAACAGAATTTAGTATAAAGATCACGTGTAGATCTTCGTTTCGGCTGTACTTTAAAATAATGAGACGGAGTATAAATTCCCTTTCAACAATTATATACAGATGATTGAATTGCGTGGTTATTTATACCATTTCAACCACGATTATTTTTTAACTCTTGCATGGCGAATATATATATATATATATATATATATATATATATATATATATATATATATATATATATATATATATATATATATATATATATATATGTATATATATATATATATATATATATAAAAATATATATATATATATATATATATATATATATATATATATGTATATATATATATATTTATATATATACGTATATATATATATATATATATATATATATATATATAAGGATATTCCACAAAGATAAGATCGTGTATTTCTTTGATTGATCTTTCCCAATATCGAATTCAAACTGATTTCTGTAGATTACAACATGTCAGATTGTCTGTAAGAGTTTTGGATTGATCACAAAGATATAATGAGCACTGACTATTTATACTTAATGTATGTACATAATTTGTGGAATTCCATACGCCAAGTTTCCCAATATACGTTTTCATCTTTGTTTATTATGGTAAGTCCTTTACTTATTTGTGCCGACTCATGTTGGAGTTTTTCTAATCCGATCCTTCTTGAGAACAACCATCCCAAATAATGTCAGTATATTTAAAACTTTGTTATCATTATGGAGTTGTGTCCGTAGATGTAACACATTCCACCCAGTAAATGTATATTTTTTTACTCTCTTAGACTCGTTTTCTTCATCCTATATATTTATCCCCACCCCACCCAACCACCCCAAGAGTCACAGATCGTGATCCTGTGTATTACTAATTATTTGTTGATGACACCCAATTACACAAAATCTAGTTACCCATCTAATGTTGATGCTACTGTTCAAGTTTGACCGCTCCGGTGGCTTAGTGGTAATGCGCGAGATTAAGCGTTATACTAGTGGTTTGAGTGTCCGCCTCGGATGCGGGAGATCAAGCGTTGTACTAAATCGTCAAGAATCCGAAGAATACGTTGTAGTAAGCATGGTCATATATATGACATTTTTTGCCCTTGAGACATCAGGGTTAATTTGAATTTTATTGCCTTACGTGATTCTATTATTTGGGATACAGACTTGTAAAGATTGGGTAGGTAGGATGACAATTTTTCATAAGAACTAATAATAAAACCCACGTGTTTATGACCTTGTGTACGGCTAATTATTTTCTTTTCAAACTTGGGGTGGAAGTGGACAGAAAGCTGATAATTATATAGTACTAATACTCAGCAAAGTATCTGTTTGTTGGGATTAAACGTTACTAGCCATTTGTCAGATCAAGTCTTTACAATTTCAAGATCAATCTTCAAAAATATTTTATCACAATTTTATACATATATGTTTAAAATCTATCATTTGCAAATGATCTCGCAATATTAAACAGATCACCAGCAATATTGTTTGTATTCTCTGCTAGATACGCTTGATTAATTATCGTCATAATTGACGAATGGCGAGGTCGGGCCACGGTAGTATATGTGTCGGTTGTGGTGTCGGTTAATGGCACACAAATATTTTTCTCGTTCTAAATACGCTCACCACGGGAGACAACTCTTTCAGAAGCTTGTTGAAGAAGGTCTATTTCAAGTTACAGTGACATTTAATGCGTCTTTGGGAGACTGGGACAGTATGATTATTTGTTTTGCTCTCGATATTAGTCAGCAATCTAAAGCACGAGTCGAGTTAAGTGATGCTATTAATTAACTTTAACATTCTTGTAAAGCAAGCATGATTTCACTACACTCTGAAATCTGAAATTCCCTTTCCGTATTTCGAAGAGAGGCAAGGTTAAAGTTCTTTCAAGGACATTTCTCATATTATATTCATCCGATGTCTGCATCGAACTGCATATGGGATTGTAAACATTCATAAAAAATGCATATTATATGTAAGCTTATGTTAACTTTCTCTAGGTTCTGAGAGTTATTGAGCAAATAATATTGCCAGGTTCCTTCTCTATATTTAACAGTGCTCCCGAACTCTGTATCGGAACCATAGAGCAGCATTCTTTACCGATATAGGTCGTAAATTGCTACAAAGTTCACGAGGTTTTTCATACATTTTGCTGACTACAGTTTTCAATCACATGACACCTGTTGCGATTATTTAAACTTTATATGCATTTGTATTTTATTTATTAAATACGAGACAAACGTTGCAATTACGTCAACTGATGTCCAATTATCATGTGTTTATGGAGCTATGATGTAACGAAGTAAAATGTGACGTCATATTGTTGACCTAATAATGTAGTGATCTAGGCTTTTGTAATAGCAGATTTGGGCTCCTCTGTATGTTGCGTACAATATATTCCAGAGCTCATATTGGTACGACATACGTACGTAACAAGAAGCTTCATAGAGATAAAGTCAAATGACGTCAGATAGATAACATCATATTGCAATAAACAGGCTATATTGAACTGCGCAATGAGCGTTGATTTTGCCCAAGCAGATATCCATAATACCAAATACGCATTGTATATTTCGACTGACCTT